GTCCCCACTGGACCCTCATCATTTCCTTCACCTGCTCCCCCCACCGACCAAACTGTGCAGCTCTGCAACTGCATCCTGGCCCATCCTCACCCTTCTGCCTCCAACCCTCACCTCCTTGTACCCCCAATATGTTTTTCCCAATAAAAAAAGAAACAAACCCAAAACCTTAGGAAGACCTGAAGCACTTGCTGGAGAAGGTCAAGGACTGCAGCATTCATTATGGATTAAGCTGAACACCAGAAAACAAGGATTCTCACCACTGGGCCAATTAGCAACATTATGACAGATTCTGAAGAAACTGAGATTGCTAACAGCCTTAATTTGCTTGGCTCCACAATCAATACTCTTGGTACCAGTAGATGGATTGTACTGAGGAAAGTCAGTTGTCAGGGGTCTTTCCAGAGTACTGAAAAACAACAAAGTCAGTCTGGAGACTAACATCTGCCTGATCTAGGTCATAGTCTTTGCAATTACTTGGTATGTGTCAGAAAGCTGAACAATAATTAGGGATGATAGAAAGAGAATTGATGTCTTTGAGCTGTGGTGCTGGAGAAGAGTATTAAACTGCCAAAAGAACAAACAGGTTTGTTGTGGAGAAGGTGAAACCAGGCTGCTCCTTGGAGGCAAGGATTCTGAAGCTCTGTCTGACATACTTTAGGCATGTTGCAAGGAGTGACCAGTCCTTGGAGAGGGACATCATGCTTGGAAAGGTGGAGGAACAGCACAAGAGTGGAAGAACCTTGATGAGATTCAGTGACTGGGGTAATGAGGGTAGGTGTATTAGAGACAATAAAGTTGACACAGAATAGAGCAGGTTTCAGGGCTATTGTACCTAGGGTCACTATGAGTCACAAATGTCTCAGCACATAATAACAACCATTTCTTCAGACAACCAATATTTAATCACAAAAGCCCACCCACTGGGTCTTGATTGGTTTAAACAAAAGGCTACCAGCCTACAACTGATTGTTAATTTAAAAAAATGACCAAACAGCTCATACTTGATTGTTAGTTAAATTGAAAGGACCAAACAGCTTACACCGGGGAATCCCAGAACACTTGATTGTGCTAATGCGAAACCTATGCTTGGACCAGGAGGCAGTCGTCAAAACAGAAATTAAAGAATACCAGAAGAATATCTACTTGTGCTTTGTTGACTCTACAAAGACATATTTGACTTTGTGGATTATAACAATTGTGGCTGACATTCAGAAGAATGGGAGTCCCAGAGCTTGTGCCCATGTGAAACCTGACCTGTTGTGTGAACAGAGCAAGGGAGCAAGCACTATATGGTTTAAAATGAAGACTGGGGTGTGGTCAGGGTTGTATTCTCTCTCCATACTTAATTCAATTTGTCTGCTGAGCAAATTATTCGAGAAGCTTAACTCCATGAAGAGGTATGTGACATCAGGATTGGAGGGAGACTCACCATGCATTATTCAGATGACACAACCTTGCTTGCCAAAAGTGCGGAAGACTTAAAGCACTTGAAGAAGAATAAGGAATGCAGCCTTCAATATGGATTATATCTCAATTTCAAGAGAACAAAAATTCTTACCACTAGACATATAAGCAACATCATGATGGATGGAGAAGAGATTGAAACTGTCAACAACTTCATCTTACTTGGATCCACAGTTAAGATGTATTGCACTGGGAAAGTCTGCAGTTAGGGACCTCTCCAAATTATAGCGGAGTAATGTCAGTTTGAGGGCTAAAGTACATCTGATACAGGCCACGGTCTTTATGATCACTTGCTATGCAACTGAGAGCACACCTCAACATCAAGAAAACAAAAATCCTAAATACTGGACCAGTAGGTAACATTATGAAAGATGGAAAAAAGAGTTTGACATCATGAAAGATGGGTAAGAGTTTGACGTTTCCAATTATGTGATTTTACTTTAATCCATTAAACTCTTGATAGCGGTAGTAAAATTCAAAGATGTATTGCACTGGGAATATCTAGTATCACTGACCTCTGAAAAGTGCTAATGAGCAAAGATGTCAGGTCAGTTCAAAGATCAAACTTATGGTATTTTCTATTACTTCCTATGCATCTAAAATTTGGACAATAAATAAAGACCAATAGGATAATCGATGCATTTGAACTGTTGTGTTGAAGAGTATTGATTATCCCAGAGACTCCCTAGAAAACAAGGTTATATTCGAAGAAGTGCAGCCAGAGTGCTCCCCAGAGACAAGGATGGTGAAACTTGGTCTCACATACTTTTGGGCATGTTGTCGGAAGCGGACAGTCCTCGGAAAAGGACATCATGCTGGGAAAGGTGGAAGGTCGGAAAAAGACAATTGACATAGCTGCTGTAGTTAGGTGGTTGAGGGTCTTCCTCTCTTCGGCCCTCCCTCACACAGAGACTGTTAACAGTGGGCTCGAGCATGTTGGAGAGCATGAGGATGAAGCGGAATAGGGAAAGGTCCTACCCTCTTGATGTTCCTAGGGTCGCCAGAAACCCTTGCGGACACGCGCACCAACCCGCGGTCGCCCAGGAAACGACGCTGCGGGCGCCGAGGAGGCCCCGCCCCGCGCTCCGCCGAAGGCGCGCGAGGCTCGCCGGCCCGTGAGCGCACGCGCGGGGGGCGTTCCCGCCGCCAGGCGTCGGTAATCAATCGGCGAGCGCCGGGTGGTCTGCGCGGCGTGCTTGGCGGCTGCGTCTTCGTGTTTGGTCGGAGGGGAAGTGGCGCGGCGGCGGTAGCGTCTTGCGGCCAGGGCGCGTCTTCAGGTCGCAGCGTGGAACTTAGGGATCAGTGGGCGCACGAGGAGGATGGCGGAGTCCTCGGACAAGCTCTATCGGGCCGAATACGCCAAGAGCGGGCGCGCCTCTTGCAAGAAATGCAAGGAGAACATCCCCAAGGACTCTCTCCGGATGGCCATCATGGTGCAGGTGCGGCCGGCGTGCGGGCCGCTTTGTGTGGACGGGGTCGGGCGAGGAGAGGAGTGCGGGCCTCCCAGGGGCACCCCCAAGCCCCCGCGTCGCCCTTGGACGCTCGCTCGCGGGGGATGGGGCGCGCGGGGCCCAGGCCTTCCAAACCCCACTGGGGCCTGTCCACGCCCGTCCCGGGCCCCCCGTGCAACCCACTGGAGATTTTGTTAATGCTGCAGCCAAAAAAGCCGAGCGATCTGGAACCCATGGTGTGGACCTTGTGCCTCCCGAAAAGGCTGCTTTTCTGCTTGTGTTGGGGAGGAGCCCTTCTCTGTATTGTCTCTTGTTTCTCCTTTTGCCTTAGGGGGAAGCTATTCGTGGCCTTTGGAAGTCAGTCGGATTTTTAGTTTTTTAAAAGCAGTTGTAGATTTTAAAAAAATAGGACAGGTTAGGACATTCTGTGGCCGCCCCTCCCCCGCGCGCACGCATTCATTTCCATCTCCAACCCCGTGCAGTAGTACTGCAGCACATTTGTTAAAATGATGAACCAGTATCAACAAAAGGCCAGAGTTTACTTTTTGAGTGAGTCTTTATGCAGCACAGGCTGGGGGTTTTAACAAATACCTCATGGCATGTGCCCCGTACAGTATCATATGGTATGATTTTATTGCTGTACAAAAAAACTACTTTGTGCTCCATCTCCGTCCCTGTCGAGTCCACGCAAACGCTGGCTACTTTCCCGGACCAGCTTCCTGAGCTTTCTGCGTTGCACGGGCAGTGTTCCTGGTGTGCACTTCTAGGTTGAGTCGTAACCCACTCAATAGGGACTTAACAATAGCGGGGAAGGTTGAGCTTTACCCTGAGTCTCGTGGAGACTTGGTGGTCCAGTGTGTGAGCACCCAGCTGCTAAACAGCTGGCTGAACTACCCCACCGGTAGAACTCCCCTGTAAGATTTCCAAGAATGTGAATCTCTTGAAATTGACTGCAATTATTTCTTTCTGAGGGGTGGCCAGAGGTGCCGATCTTTCCGTTAGCAGCTTAACCACTGCACTACCAGGGCTCACTGGAAAGTGAGAAAGGGGCAAAAAAGTACAATACTGTAGGAATGGAATGATGAGGGGCAGCCAGAGAGCTCCTTGGACACTTCTAAGGAGAGGCTATTCCTTGGAGAGGGACATCATGCTTGGAAAGATGGAGGGTCAGCAGAGAGGAAGACCCTTGACTGACAGTGACTGCAGCAGTGGGCGCAGGTGTCAGAGATCAATTAGAATGGCACAGGGTAGGCAGATTCAGGTCTGTTGTATTTAGGGTCACTAGGGCATGTAACAGCTTTAGCTGGGATGATGTACTTAAGAAGAATGAGTTACTGGAGTGCCAAATGAAAGGTTAACCCTCTGGGCTTCATTACTTAGGGAAAGAAGTGTGCTGTTGGAAAGTGGGTTTTCAGTAAACTTAGTAGAAGATTTAAAAAACAAAAAGGTTTTCTATATGTAACTGGGCTAGAATTTGAGTTCTGCTTTTGAAGTTGGCCTCATTGTAGGTGGGGCTGGTTAAATTCCAACCAGCTTTTGTCTTTGAGCTTGGTTTTAAATAAGCTGTTTTTGCATTTGTATGGGAGGATTATTCTCTCCCTGAGGGACCCTCCTGCCACTCTTACCTGCCCTGCCTCCAGGCCATCCTTAGACACTGCTGTGCCTTGGGTGGCCTGGTCAGCCTCACCTGTGTCTGTGGAACTGCCCACCCAGGGTGTGTGGGAAGAAAGGCTTGGTAAAGTAAAATGTGATTTTTCAGCCATTCAGAACCTCATGGAGCCAGTTCTGCTTGCATGTGTAGGAATGTCCCAGCTGAGCTGCATGCAGACAGAGGATTCCTTCCTGCCAGGAACCAGCAAATGCTGCCATGGACCCAGTTGGCTGGTAGATGTGTCCCTACAGGACCACAGCCACAACTTGATATTGTATTATGTTGTATTATGTATTATTGTTATTATGTTGAAGCCACTCAAACACAAGTTAGGATACCTGCCTGCCTCTTCCCCCTTTAGTTTCCTCATCCTCATGATCCCATCCTAAAAATGTATATGTTGTTGTTATATGCTGTCAAGTCATCTGTGACTCACAGCTGCCTGTGTGCAGCAGCTCTGAAACCTGCCCTGTCCTGAGCCAGTCTGACATACTTAGCCTCATTGCCCCAATCACCATTACATATATATGGCGTTTGGTTAATCATTTTAGAGCAGTTTGTTGTTTCTAAAGAAGGGATCCTTTTTCCTGTCTGGCAGAAAGAGTTAAGATGTCACATCTTCATGCACCTTGAATGACCACGGGCAGAATTAGCCACAACAGTTGTCCCATGCCTGGCAGGACCCTGCTCTGGCTGGTGGTGGGGTTACTATGACTGGCAGGTGGTACAGAAAACTTGGTGCCATCCAGTCTGTTTCCATTCCTAGTGACCCCAGCAAGATGGGTTGACACAGTGACTTCTCGGTAGTGTTACCCGAGTGTGGTGTAGATTGTGAGGGTGGCCCAGGGTAATGTAAGTTTCAAAGTGGAGTTTTCTTCGCTGATGTTCCGGTAGCAGTTCTCCAGGCCATTTCTTGTGCGGTACTACTGGGTAGGTCTGAAATGCCAGCCTGTAGATTCTCCATCAGGTACAACCACGTGCCCCACTGGGGATCAGTGAATACTGTTTTCACTGGGTGCTTGGGCTGCCATGGTCCAGAGTCTGAGAAAGAGTGATTCCTAGAGCAGTGAGCTAACTGCAGTCCGTCCAGCTCAGGCCTGGGTGGGTTGACAATTTATTCCCCTGCCATGCTGTCTGCTATTCTCTACTCCTAGAAGTCAGTCCATTCACGTGTTACTTTCCCTGTAGGACTTGTTCCTCTTAATTCTTGACCACAGGGGCGCTTAGAGACCCCTTCACAAGTCACAGGAACCCTTTGAGTCCACGTGGGCCTGGCCTGGCCTTTACCTGTCAGCTTCAGTAGGATGTTTGACACAGGATGAGTTATCTTAAGTGCTTTTGTCTGCCCAGCCAGCTGAACCATGTCACTGAACTATAAAGCAGGTGATGGAGTAAATAAACGTGCATGGAGACACAGCTCTCTTCCCTAAGACTCCACCATCCCTGCTGGTGTTTCATATGCTGAAAGAACGAGCTCAAACAGGAGACCCGGAAAAGTGGCACGCAGGTCATAGACAAAATAGGTGTCCAGAATGTCGGGGTCGAGGCTAACTGCCTGTTCACTTCTCTCTAGTCTCCTATTTTCGACGGGAAGGTCCCGCACTGGTACCACTTCTCCTGCTTCTGGAAGGTGGGCCATTCCCTCCCGCATCCCGAAGTAGATGTGGATGGATTCTCCGAGCTACGCTGGGACGACCAGCAGAAACTCAAGAAGACGGCAGAGGCTGGAGGAGTGGCAGGTGGGTGCACACTGAGCTGGTGGTGGGGCTCAGCCCATCCCTGAAGCTCCCAGGGGACCTTTCTTCAAAAAGGGAAGAGAAAGTACACCTCCCCACCACCCAAGACAAGTGGGCAGAGTCGTACTACACTGTGTTTAGTCAGGTTTTTGAAGGAGATCTCCTGAGATCATTTCTCCACCCTTCTCAAGCCATTCTCTTGACTTTTGAATGTTGGTGAGACATTTGCCATCTTATTACATGGTGCCAGCAGACCCTTCTCAAGCCATTCTCTTGACTTCTGAGTGTTGGTGAGACATTTGCCATCTTATTACATGGTGCCAGCAGATGTCTGTCTGCATCTGTCCATGAGTTTGCCTCCACTGCCTCTGATTGGCTGGATACTGACACCAGTAGCACAGTTGAGCAGTGTGACTAAAAATAAGAGTGACTTGGCCCAGAAAGTCAACAGTGTGATTATTAATTTAGGGGTTTGTTGTTGTTGTTATGGGTCATCAAGTCGTTTGCGACTCCTAGCGACCCTATGTACAAGAGCTCTAAACGCTTTTATATCCTTTGCCAACCTAGCCATCTCAAATGCACTTATTCCCACCGCTCCAGTCACAGAATCAATCCATCTTATCAAAGGTCCTCCACTCTGCCAAACATGATGTCCCTCTCCAAGGACCAGTCCCTCCTTGCAACACGCCCAAAGTATGTCAGACAAAGCTTCAGAATCCTTGACTCCAAGGAGCATTCCGGCTTCACCTTTTCCAGGACAAACCTGTTTGTTCTCCTAGCAGTCCATGGTATATTCAACACTCTTCTCCAGCACCACGGCTTAAAGGCATCAATTCTCTGTCTATCAACCCTATTCACTGACCAACTCTCTGATGCATAGCACGTAATTGCGAAGACTATAGCCCGGATCAGGCGCACCTTAGCCTCCAGCCTGACATCATTGCTCTTCAGTACTCTTGAGAGGTCCCTCACAGCCAACTTTCCCAATGCAATTCGTCTCCTGATTTCCTGGCTGCTGTTACCAAGAATGTTGAGTGTGGAGCCAAGCAAACTAAACTGTTACTATCTCAATCTCTTCCCCATCCATACTGATGCTGCCAATTGGCCCAGTGGTGAGAATCTTTGTTTTCTTGATGTTGAGCTTCAATCTGTATAGGAGGCTGCAGTCCTTGACCTTCAGCAAGTGCTTGAGGTCCTCCTCAGTTTCAGCAAGCAGGGTTGTGTCATCTGCATAATGCAGGTTGTTGGTGACCAACAGTCCTGATGCCACATTCCTCTTCGTATAGCCCAGCGTCTCAGATTATCTGTTCTGCATATAGATTAAAAAGGTATGGAGACAGAATACATCCCAGACGGGACCCCCTTCTTGATTCTGAACCATGTAGTGTCTCCTCTCCTTGCTCTGTTCTGACGACTGCCTCTTGGTCCAAGTATAGGTTTCGCATTAGCACAATCAAATGTTCTAGGATTCCATTCTTAGAGTCAGCCACAGCTTGTTGTGATCCACACAGTCAAAAGCCTTTGCATAGTCAATGAAGCACAGATAGACATTCTTCTGGTATTCTCTGCTTTCTGCCAAGATCCATCTAACATTAGCTATAATATCCCTAGTACCACGATCTCTTCTAAATCCAGGTTTAGAAGTTGTAATGTGCAGAATAAATTTAGAATTTCATAATACAAAAAGAAATCAGTTTGCTACAACATTAGTTGTACAGGGACTTTTTGCTTCAGAGTGTTTATCTGTGCAAACATGCAAATAAATTTTACATCACCTGCATCCTATAATCCACAGATAATTTTCATTCACATATTTGCATGTGATGCTTTTATTCCTGTTAAAAATGGAATCCTATCTTGCATGTTACTTTTTACATTTAGTACTTACTCGTTATATTAGAATATTCTGGATCATCATCCTATAATGGCTAAATTAAAGCGGGTACTCTGATGGTATAGTCTGTCCTGCAGTGGTAGCTCTCTATGCTGTCTCCTCCCAGGCAATTTACAGCTTGTGAAAGGAAAGTCAGCTGTGAGTCATTCCACATAGATGGAGGCCAAGCTCCCAGTGAGTTTCTGTATGTGAAATGGGTACATTTTCATCCTTTTGGTCTACACAGGTAGAGCTATTAAAAACTTACCTGCATTATCTACAAACAGGAGATTATAAAATAGATGAATGGGACCTTCTAAGAATCAAATCCCTTTGTACATCCAAAAATTTCTCCAAAAGGGTAAAAAGGGAAGCCACAGACTGGGAAAAAATCGTTGGTAATGACATGTCAGATAAGGGTCTTATATCTAGAATTTATAAACTACTGGAGCTCATAAACAATCCAACTGAAAAATGGGCACAAGATATTAACAGACATTCAGATGGCAAATAAGCACATGAAGAAATGTTCAAAATCCCTAGCTCTAAGAGAGAGACAAATCAAAACAAGTGTGAGATACCATCTCACCCCAGTAAGAATAACAAAATTTAGCAGAACAGCAAACATCAAATGCTGACAAGGTTGTGGAGAAACTAGAACCTTTATTCACTGTTGGTGGAAGTGACCCAGCAATTGCACTACTGGGAATATACCCTAAAGAGACCATAACCGCCACCCAAGCAGATATATGCACACCTGTGTTTATTGTGGCTTTGTTCACAATAGTAAAGAGTTGGAAACAACCTAAGTGTCCATCAACAAATGAATGGTTAGAGAAGCTATGATATATTCATACAATGAAATCCTATGCTACATTGAAAAACAAGGAACTCATTATTCAGAATGGGTGACCCTGGAGGACATTATGCTGAGTGAAATATCTCAGTCACAAAAGGACAAATACTGCACAGTGCCATTGTTACAAAACGGGACTGACATCGGGGTTGGGGGAGACTGAGAAAGATGGGATAAGTTATGTATACTGGATTGAAATAGATGAGGGAGAAAACTGTTTAAAAGGCATATGTGATTAGGTATTACTATCAGGACAGGAGTCCAGAACGAAGGCTGTATAGTGGAGTGGACTTGGGGTGAGGGATTATATAACAATGAAAGAATTTTTCTTTTGCTTTTCAAAGAGAAGAGCAAACTGGAGATGAGGTTCGGCAGGGAGAAAAATGCAACAGTGAATGAATGGAAATCCAAAGTCTCTCTAAACTTTCATTAAAATTAATTAAAAGAAAATGAACATAGTGCTGTAAAGGTATATGAAAATCAATAATTAAAAAAAAAAACCTTAACCTGATTAACAGCAAATTGTGCTTAAGACCATCTGGTTGTTTCTTTTTAATTGTATATCTTATCATTATTGATAAGTACCACATAAAATGTTATAGCTGGTGTTATCAGTCCCAGATGTTCGGTGTTATGATTTACTGTTCAAAACACTACAAGTATAGCAGGCAGCAATAAAAACTTTGAGGAAGGGTGAATATTGTTTTTCACTTCAAAACTGACTACGACAGTGTCATTGGATGGAATCTTTTGTCATAAGCCAGGGACTGCCTATTTTCCTAAATTTTATTCACTATTCCAAGCATTTGATGTGGTTTTTACACTTGAGGAAACTGAGGTACCTGGAGAATTCATCTAGCTGGCCCGAGATTACACTGGTGGTAAACATCTTTTGCTTTCAAGTGGTTAACCATTTGAGTCTGTTGTGTGTAGAGCTGCTGCAGGCTTCTGCATCCCTGGGCACCTGCTGAGTGACTGAATGCTGGGGAATGGAATGGCTGTCGTAAGAAATAAACTGGTTGAAACAAAAGTTTTTTTAATAAAATGAACTGTTTATAAGGCTTTTAAAGATGCCAAGGGAAAGTCCTGGCAATCTGCTTCCACAGGCTCAGCCACTGAGAATTGTGTGGAGCTCGGTTCTACATCGGCACACACACCCATTTGGGGAAGATGGGGCTCAGAATTGAGTCAGTGGCAGCTGGTTTGGTTTTCGGGATCTGTGTGCCTTCGGTTACATTTCTTCCATTAATCTGTAACATTCTCCTTTCTCCGTTTTCATACCATCTGATTATTACATCCCTGTTCTGTTCCTGGTGAGGCGGAATGTGTTAACATTTATTCATTGACCGTTTCTACTTTGATTCTTGGTTTTGTGCTTGCAGCATTTTCCTGTGGGAATCTTGCTGAATGAAATGTGAGATATAAATTCTGCAATTAGTTTTCACAGTTTGACATTTTTCCTTTAGCTTGGTTGATTGTGTATTTGTCACATTCATGTTTTGTCTTTTGATTGAATTTTTATTTTCTAACTAGGTATCATGGTTTTGTTGTTGTTGTTTTAAGTCCATTATCTGGAATTTTACATAAAACTGCAACATCTCAGGGAGCTTTGGTGGTCTAGTGGTAAGACCCTTCACTGCAATCCCAAAGGCATGTAGTTCAAATCCACCAAAGATGGGCCGTCTTCAGTGTAATTTACTGCCTCAGAAAACCCCCTGGAGGGTTAGTTGTAGGTCAGTTCGAACACAATGGTACATAACAACAACATCTAGAATTTTAAAGATTTATGTACAGCTGCCTACAAACATCTTAAGTAT